TTAAAATGAATGAAAATGGTAAAAAAAAATTTGAGTGGCCATGGTGAAATGTTATATGAAATTGGCTGTCCATAGTAAACGTTATATGAAATTGGATAGCCTTTGTGAAAAAAATCAAATTGGGTGGTCATGTTGACACTAAATATAAAGTTGAGTGGCTGTTGTGAAACAAATTCAAATTGAGTGACCATGATGACACCAAGTATAAGGTTAGGTAGCCACCATTGTATTTAACCTAAGATATTTTCTAATGAATAGTGGGGAAGCAGTTTGACTATAGTAGGGAACATGTATGAGAAAATCAGGTGTGAACACTCTGCCACTATAGTGAACAATACAGGGCTGATTCTCTCTTTTAAGGTAAATGTAGAATATCTGTTCATCTACAAAATATATCCAAGATTCGCAGAATCTTGTGGGCCCCCAAGTGACTTTTGTGTGTTTAATAATTAAAAAATTGTTAGGTAAATTTTGCACCAATAGTCGGATGTCTTGAACTAATGGACAATAGTAAAATATCAAATTCACCATTAAATGTAACATTACCTACACACCATTTAGAAGCGACATAATATACTTTTGTTCGTAGTCCAAGATCAGCAAAGGATTTTGTAAAATCTACAAAAGGTATAATTTTATTAAAGTTTCTTTCTTAACATAAAGAAATTTTGTAGCCGCCGCCACCATCACTGTTGCCACCAATCTCTATTCTGCTTTCCACACTTCATTTCCATTTACCATCACCACCACATCGACTTCAATAGTAAATGGTATGACAGCGGAGGGGATTAGATTTATGGTAGGCAGGCATGGGATACTGATATGGCCCAGGCCGTATCAGATTCGGTGGAGGTGTTGAAGGCTCACCGAAAAAATTGAGAGGATTCAAAGAGAACAAAGGCTGCAATATGGAGTGAAGTGTCCTAGGACTATGATTGCAATCAGGCTGACGTACGTTCAAACCTTTCGACACTGGTTCCGACAATCGTAGCGGTGGCCGAAGTTTGGATTTGTATGTAACTAGATAGATCTTGATATGGCAATGGTGGTGGTTGACCATAGATCCAACACTGGCTACAAATCCTAGGAGAAATGTGGTGGTGCCGAAGAGAAAAGTGGCGGTCAACTTTCGTGGGG